GTTTTTTTCCCTTTCATTTCTACAAAAAAGATGGGTAAAACCGTAATGTTATTATTGCCAATACATTTGAAAACTGGCAGGAATATTAACAAAAGCCTTTCATTCAAAAAATACACGACTTAGAACTATACTTATGATCTTCGAGCATGATATCGAGCCCAAAACCATTGAATGGCTAGTTCGACTACTACTACCCCCCCCCCCCCCCCCACCCCCTATTTTCGGTTTTCTTTTAAAATGACGGCTTTCAATTAAAAATTTGTAAACGCACGGACACACGGTGCAACATTGCGGATAGTTTTCTACTTCAGCAACGTTGCTTGAGACAAATTGCGTTGTCATGGCTCGCAACATCGATTGCATGCAACATTGCGCGGAATGTTGCAGCTTAACCACACCTTAGGCTTGACATATCGATTACGTATCAACTGATATTTCCCAAATTCAGCTGGGTGACAACTAAACAATGGTCCCAAGTCACAAGTCGAGGTTGGCACTCATAACTTGATAAAATTATCACATGATCTGTCAAGTCCAACCTCCACTTACAACTAACTAACATTTCTTGGTTACTCGAGTGAATTCTGGAAAGATCAAATTTCCAATGTATTTTATACTGGATTCTTATTTTCTTTCCAGGCGAGCGACAAAAGCGTTTTGCTATTTCTAAAAAGAAGTGGAATACAACGTCATTGCTTTATGGATTCGAGAGATACACCAATGACATGTCTGTGGCGACTCAAAAAGCTATCATCGCCAAGGCCTTCAAGTTCTGGGCCGATGCTGGTGGAATGGTGTTCACTTTAACCAATGATTTGTCTAACGCTAACATCAAGATCATGTAAGTACTAATGACTTGTGGCTAATAGAAAAAAAAAAAATGATTATGATATTGAGTATACTGTTCCCCCTTTTCTTATAACATACTACTCGCTGGGGTATATTTCTATACCCCTTCTTTTTCAAATATATGTTGTTGTTTTATTTTTAATACTTGGAAGCTGCTTATAAAGCTTTTTCAATCACGTGACAAGGCAGCCACATTGGTGGAACAAACAATAAAAACTTTCTGCACACTTTTTGCATAAAAATAGAGTTTAATTCCAGGAGAAAAGAAAACGTATTGTTTGGTACACCAATAAGGACGTTGTGAAGACGAGTGAAAATGCTCTGTACTGATCGATATTCAATGGTCTTTTTTTAAAAGCATTTTGACCGATGATTTTGTGGAATTTTAACAAAAGGACTCATCTCATGCGCAGACTGAATAAAAATACTGCTTTCAATTCCATCAAGAAAATGTAACATTATAACCAGGGCGGACCCAGGGGCGCGGGTGGTTGGACGGGTAATTAGTCAACCCCTCCTAACCTTCCTTTTTTGTACGAATAAAATGAAGAGTACTAATTTTTAATGTTTAACTGCAGGTTTGGAACCAAAAGACATGGTACTTGTAACACGCCCTTTGATGGATCTGGCAACATTCTTGGTCATGCTTTTTTTCCGACTGATGGCCGACTCCATTTTGACGACGATGAATTCTTTACCGATGGCGTTAACTCAGGCACTAACCTCCTATCTGTCGCTGTTCATGAAATTGGACATACACTTGGCCTGGCTCACTCTAGTGACAAGAATTCCATCATGTTTCCATCTTCACCTGGATACATTCCAAACCTTGCTCTTGGCAAAGAAGATGTCAATGCAATCAAGTATCTGTACGGTATGTGAAAAAGTTGTCCACCCGGCATGATAAACTCTAGTTCTTTCTAAGTATTTCAATAAAATTGCTTGAGAAAAGTCCGTGTCATTTTTGCACTAAAGTTGGTGTGTGGATTTCAGTTGATGGGTTGCAAGCAATCCAAGAGAGTCAAAAGACAAAAATATGGCGGCCATTGTGGTGCCGTTAACAATGGATGCTAATGAGAAATATTTAGTTAAATGGCACCAACATGGCCGCGATGACGTAACGTGCAATCGAAGAATAGCGGTTCGTCGTACAAGTAATTAGTATATAAACATTAGTCACATTTGCAAACTCACGGAGGATTTTCGGCTTGATGAAATTTATTTTTTTAGAGTATTTTGGAGTATATTTTTATGAAATTGGTTAAGAAAGTATCATGTCGCTTTTGCTCTGTTCAAATTTTTCTTTGTCCTTATTATCAACTACTACTCTTCCCAGTAGTGTGATTGTTACTGTTGTGATTTTTTCATCGCGTTCGTATGTTAACAGGTGCTACATTTCAAATCGACCACGTGGTGTCAATATTTTACCACTTGGATAATTTTTTATCAACACAAAGTTTAGGTTATTCTTAGAGCTTATTTAGGTTTACGTTCTAAATATGACTGCATGTGCTAGACATCGACACTTTATCTTGATGTTTTTATATGCGGAGTTTGTACATTGATGTAACGAAACATCAAAATGAAGCGCCAAAATATAGTTGGAAAAGAGCACAATTAAAACTTGTCGAAAAGTTGTAAAAAGATTAACGAACAGCATAGTAACGAACTGAAAAAATATTTTATCTTCTTATCTCCCTTTCCAATCCGGGGACAAAATTAGCGCTAATTGCTCAACATTTGGAGCAAATTTTAATCTAAACATTGTAGGGTCAATAAATTTGGCCAATATTGATACGAATATTTTTTATGAATGGACTTCATTTTATTGGCAGCTGGTGGAACGAGCAGTCCTGGGCTTGGAGTTTCAGGTACGCCTCTTTAAACTTTCTATTGACGCTTAAAACCGGCTCCAGTGTATGCGGGCGTAGCCTCAATTCTGAGGTCGGTAAACAAAAGCAGAAATTCTAATAACCAAAAAAAAAAACAAACAAACGACTCCTGGATTCGAGGCTAAGCCCGTATATATTGCAGTTTGAAGAGTCGTCAGTTGCATAAGTCTTTTTCAAATAATGTTGTTAAAGCCTTTAAATTTTAACATTGTTCAAAAGAACGAAAAAACAACGGATGTCACATTCTCTTTTAACTGGAGCACAGCCATGTTTTGTTTCTGTTTCTGTTTTTGTTTTTGTTTTTGTTTTTTCCTCTTCCAGCTATTATATACTTAATGTCTGGTCCCTCGGGAAATAGTTAGTTTTATTTTCCCGAGAGTCTCGATGTTGCACGAGGCGAAGCCGAGGGAAGCATCGAGACTCGAGGGAAAAYAAAACTAACTAATTTCCCGAGGGACCAGACATTAAGTATTTTGTTATATAGCAATTAAGAAATATTGARAAGTCAGTTTACGAAATAAGAACTTTATTTAGCAAGCTAAGTGCATGAAAACTGACCATGATTTTACAAATACAACTCACATAAGGTCTTGTATTTCTCTACCAAAAAAAGAGGAGAGTGGCAAAGCATTTTTAGTCGTTTTTTTTCTTCTTATTTTTCGAATCCTTTTTCTCAATGAAAGTTTGTAATTTCCTAGTAGAAACACTGGAAAATCTCTATTGTTTCGCTTCGAGCTCCATTTGTACTGAAAATTTAAGCAAAATATCTGCTCCCGCTCTGTTGTTCTTAATTGGTGCCAAATATTACGCCATTAGCGATTTTCACGTTCTAATCACGTGCACTTTTTTATTGTCACGTGGAACACATTTAGATTTAGCTAGTGTCACGTGATCGTCTTTCAACCCATGAGAGTGTTCGTTATATCTGAAAATTTCGTAGGTATATAACATATATAATATATATATGTTTATTAAACAGAGATATAGATATATAATAGTTTATAGATAGTTTTATTGAATAATTACATTTGGGGGGATGGAGGGGATGTTATCTTGGTTGTGATTCAAGACGACTTAGTTTAATGCTGCTGTTATTTTCTTTGGAAGTGTGTAAAGACATTTTACCAAGCTGCGCAAGCAACGCTGGTTACTGTAAACAATACCCGGACTACATGAACGCTAGCTGCCCGAAGACATGCAACTTTTGCTGTAAGTATTGCTCTGTACCATACGTCATTATACTGGGCTATACTTCTGTCTTGAATAATGCTAGCCGACAAAACGAGGCAATAAGAGCTATTCTTCCCTTAGTATCCGTTGCTATGTTTTACAAGCTCAGCAAATTTAAAACTCTACTATCGCGGTTAAAAATTAACCACACCCTAAATTCATTGTTTGATGTAGGTTCTTAAATTCTTCGGAAAACCCAGATTCTTAAAGCCTGGGACGGAATGATATCAACAGTGGAGAGCGGGGCTCAATTTTAAACCCAGGATAGGTTTTTAATTACACGGATATRTTGTAAGCACTCTATTTACAAAAGAACAAAGCAACAGTAATCCACCTCTCTGAATTCAATATAATTAGTATTTCGTGTTTTGCATCGAAACAATGGAATTTAGGGCTTAGTTGATATTTTAAACCAGTTCAAACGCACGGGCTCGGTTTTGCATTAGAATTCAAGACAGAGGGCCGCAAACCTCGCCCTAGCGTTTGAATCTTTATTTAATAACTATCCTTTGGAAATTAAAAAAAAAAGTTCCTAGTAATGCTTGTAGCACTCTTTAAAACAGATGCTCTGTGCTCTTTTTTTTCCCGATTTTACTTCCACTGGGAAAACTGATGCAATGGCAATTGTTTTTGCAATTGTCATAGTTGGGACCATGAATTACAGAAAGATCCACCTGACCCCGGCTTAAAAAAAAACTCTTCGTAATGTGTGTCTTTGGTCAGTGTGATTTATTTAACTTTGTTGTTGTTGCATGTCGTGGAGTGTCTTGCCAATTATGCCATTATTTTTATTTCTTGGGTGTAGATTGACATTTGTACATTGACCTATACTTTCATGATTTCTGTAAAAAAAA